CGAGCAAAAGTAGGATGACCAGTATGAAAGATAATTAACCAAATCATTCTATATCTATCTATGCCTATTAATTTTCTTTTGCTCAATTGAATCTTTATAATAGGTAAGATAGAGCCGAACAGTCTTTTGGGCCTAGTGTTAACGTAAGACTTTAGCAAGAATGAGTCCCAACTCTGATGAAGTCCATTATGTAATGGAAGAAAGGTCAGCCCGTTTTCCTTCAAAGCGAGGGAGTGTCTCGTAGGCTGCGCCAAGTTAAACGTCGTATTAAAGCCAAACGGCTGCATTACAACGAGATTCAGCTTTCCTCTTCTGGGAAGATCGACTTTCGAATCTTCATTCACTTTCATGTACTCTCTGAAGTTTTTCCGGTATAGTAGTTAGCATTATCAGTTAGCTTTGCCAATTTTAGCATCACAAATAGTCTTCTTCTTCCCTTAGGTCGCCCTGACAATATGGCCAGGTTGACATAACGAGCTCAAGCAACTTTCAGACAAATTTAAGTTGTAATCCCTTTGAATGAGAAGGTAAAGTTGAGCTAAGAAGTAGGGTGAAACCAATACTTAATTCAAGCCTCTCTCTCTTACTTATTGAACATCAATGAGCTAAAGGTTAGTTAAACAACATGTGCTAGTAGTGAACAGTTAAATTTACTCCACATCAATTAGAGATATCTAACAATAATTGATTAACTTTTAAAGTTATTATCAAAATGTGCTTCTAGCCTTAAATATGAACTGTAGTCATTCTATGCCGCTTAAAGTGTTGAAAGACTGTTAGTGGATTCTACCACAATTAGACGATGTCATTGAAGTTCACTTAGTCATTCATCCCAAAAGGCCATCTGATCCAAGGTGGACTGCAGCAAACGCGTGATTGCCATTGTAATCGGCGGTGCTTCTGACACCCGTGGATTTGACCTGGTATCAAATTCCGCTGGTGCTAATGAGGCCTAGACTTAGTCAAAACTACATTCCACCTTGGAAAGCTGGGTAAACTTAACTGGTATTGGGCTGCTTATTCCTCTAATTGTGAAAAAACTCAACTACCCGTATATAAATCACCTCAAGCGACCTGGGCTAATTGAGTTGTTTTAAGGAATTTTCATCCTAAATCACAATAATATATTGCTGCTAAAAGACTCTAGTTTTCCCAAAATGACCAGTATATGAACCAAAGGAATGGCTTCAACGTTGAAGGCGACATTCTGGAACTAAGGATCAGATAAATAAATTGGCTTGCCTCCAAAACTTCTACTTCCGGAACATCATTTTTTAACTATGCTTATCGAGCTAAAGGTAACACCAATTAAAATCAATTAATTCTACCAAAGCAAGGATTAATATGCTAATGCATCATGATTGGCAGTGTGGCTAAGCATGAAAGATTAGGGCATTTTGACATCCGCTAGTGTACAGGGCAAGTATGTCCCAGCATACGTACCCGGATAAATTATTTTGTGAAGATAAGGATGAAGTGTCATCTAGACTCGTAAGAGAGTTCTGGACTTGAAAATAGCCATTCTCCTTCTCGGGCTTCTTCGAATGATGCTCAGGACATTCCTCTTGCTGGCTGGCTTCTTCATGTTCTGATGTTCCATGCTCAGCTGATTCGTCGCCAATATCATCATCCTCTCTGCCGTAAGGCTCCGTCAATTCAAGGATCTGCTTGAGTCTCCCTTCTAGACTAAGTTGATCCCCTTCCTCTGGGCTGGCTGACCAGACCTGGGGATGCGCTAGAAACAGGAGCAAAAGATGATCGTGTTGACGAAGATGATGAGGATGTAGCTGAAGTTGCTTGTGATTTGCGGGTGCCGTGGACGGACAGGCAACGTAGGCCATCAGCATCTTTCGGGCCAAAACTAGACAGGCGCGATCCAGTCTGGTTTCCCGGGCCTGTTTGCGGCGCCAGTAGAGTTGTGGGGCCGCGGCCTGACTCTGCGTCAGAGGCACTTCGAGTCCACTTGCAGCTTCTTCTTCTCCGCGTTTCGGCGGATGCGGCTTCGTCTTTGTCTGTAGCAGCTGCTTTTGGAGCTGTTCCTGATGTTGTTGGTGGAAGAAATGAAGGTCAGTTTGCAGAGAAAGTTCTTTCGTCTCTCCATTCATGGCTATTGGCTTGCAGGCTGAATTCGCCCCAGACCACTCGTTCTGCCGGCATCCACTTTCCAATGCGATGTCATCCGAACTTTGGATGATACCAACGCAGTTGTTTACTTCCATACTTTTGGCTGCCCCCTCTCTTCCCTCATGTTTACTGCCGATCTGCTTCGTCTCCCTTCGTGGTGGCCCCGGCCTGTGACCGTCCACCAAACGCATCGCCTCCTGCAGCCGCACAGAAGCCAACCAGTCACTCGCACCAGTCTCCTCAGCCGAACGGTGCCCTCGGCTTTGGTCGTCAACAGCCGAGTCCGTTGGCACTTGAACCCAGAGTTCGGAGGCCGTGGACGGTTTCAACTGGAATGAGTCGGACAGAACTTGGCCCTCCTCAGCTCCTTCGCAGGTGAATGTATCCTCGCTAGAGTCTGCATTTGGGAAGCCCTTTGGGCCGGCGAGACCGTTGGCAGGACAGTTAAAGGGATTTGCACCTGGACGCGAATATTGACCCCCGAAACCACGCCGAAAGTTCGGCCGACTACATATATAAGAGTCCGGGTGGAAACTAGAGTCGAAAAAGGCAAGAAAAGGCAGAAGATGAGGCGAAGACAACAGATAAAGTCTATCGAAAATGCATAAATTGAGGGCAAGTAGACATCAAGTACGGGAGTCTGAAACACAGGCCTTCTAGACCATATTCGAGTGGGCATATTGTAGACTTGAGGACGCTTTTCCATGAATTCTAAAAATGGGAGTGTGGACACTTCAGAAGGCTGGGCAACGCTATCACTGAAAGTCACTCAGAAGCAGGCTGGAGGAGTTAAATTGTCATAGTTACCTAAAAATCTTTGTGAGGGCCCCATAAATTGTGCAGTCTAGAGATGTAGTAAGTAGACTTCGAGATTATCAGTGAATCATAGATAATACCCTAATCCTTTAAGCTACTATAAGACGATGGGTATCTGATAGCTGAAGTTTCTAAAAATGAAGTGAGTAGACTTCATGATCCTATGGAAGTTCACATTACCCTGCCTTACACAAAGTTTTTCAAACAGGGCTGGACTGTAGTTCCGACTCTGCCTAAGTCTTAACGACCTCCCAACGTGGATTCGAAACCGATTCGTGAATATGGCGACACGTCACCAGCCCACCATACAACCACGGATGCTGGTGAGGTCCATTAACTTCATTGCTAAAAGTTAATGTATTGGTCACAAATCATCTTGTTTGACCTAAGATCCACCGATTATATCGACTTGCTCAATAAGTGGCTAGTAGCTTCTTCAATTGTAGTGAATAATACAAGCTGTCCTAGTCGACAATCCCGCCATAGGTGTGAATCTCCATTGGCACATTTGGCTGCATGACATGAAACCTTGACAAAACCGAAATTGTGTCCAGCCTGGATAAGAAAACCTTTGGGTCATAGGTAAATAGAAAATTAAATGGTATCACGAGGCCTGAATATTTTATTGAGGGAAAATTCAACCATTTACATACGAAACTGAAGATCGCTTTGTTTTAAAGCACACGACCTAGCCGTCATTACATTATTTGAGGCTGTAGCAAAAAATCTGTATTTTAATAAGCTCTTTTCCCTTTCGAATAAGATGAATCATATGAGAAGACAATCTATTTATCTAAACGACCGAATACGGAAGCATGCTGTTCATCTGTGGGCAATCATAAGCTCGAATTAGCATTTCGGAATATCATACTTTTTGGATTGAAAACCACTGGCTACATAGTCTCAGATGTAAAGTAGAATAATTTTGGGAGCTGTAGACATATGGACACCTCATATGGGGATATTTCAGAAAAGCATATACTTCGCTTAAATAATCTGACTGGGGGTTTACCAAGCGGATTTAGCAACGCAACTGATGTAAACTGCTTAAAGCCTATCTTGATGGCCCATTCAAGTCTAACTTATGTTCTCAACGTGCCAACCTGACACACAATTATGAATCAGCATTTTTATTTAACAAGCAAAGATGCCTTACTGCACCATTCTCATATATTCTCTTAAGCAGAATGTGGTACACTGACAGATCCATATAACCGGTTGGAGGTCAGTAAATGAACACTGAGGTCGACTCCTTCTGATAGAATGTTTGACCAACATTCTTCACTAGACTGATATTCTTCTTTAAAAACACTTAAATTCTTGGCTATACCTTCATCCTCAAAAATTTTATTCTACTTGACGCCAGAACATTTAGGCTTAGAGACAACTTATTAAAAGAGTCGCATATGAAGACACCGAATCTTACAAGGAATGATTGTCAGAGGGAGCACCCCTTGGCCCTGGTAGCGGACTAGGCGTATCTTAAAAATCTAAAAATGCCGATCCCTCAAAGTTCTATACAGACCAGTGCAAAATGATGAGGCTGAGTAAAAGAGACAGAAATTACTTGGCTCCTTGTGCAAGGCTCCAAATAAAACTCAGATGGGCAGCCTAGTTGTAGAAGCTTCAAGCACTCTATTCACATTATATGATCATACGGCTTAATTGTTTAAGTCTCTTATTATCGGCACCAAATTTCAAAATACATTCCAAAGCCCTTAGCTGACAAGAAAAAAATGAGTAGAAAAAAATAGATTTCATAAAGTTTGATGGCTTACCATTTAGCTCAAGCATGAATGATTGACTTAATCCTAATTAATTTTCACAGTAAAATAGAAAATTGTGAGTTTATATAATATCCCTTTTAGGTTGGCCATATTTGGACACAACTTCTCGAGTTTGACAACATCCTTGAGAACTGCGGCTTTGCGGATAAAAAGGAAACACCACCTAATTGGATAATTGGCCAATATTAGTTTTTTTGCATAAAGGATTTTTTCCAACGAACGGGAATAGTGAAAATGCGACTCCCTACGGCTCCACATTGAAAAGGTAATTATCATTGTCCGCAATTCCATATCTAAGACTTTACAAAAATATCGCATTGTTATTTTCTATCTTAACTGGAACTAAGGTTTTCAATGAATAAGGAAAGATAAATTATCAGCCAAAATCACTAATACAATCCAATCGTTAATAGCACAGCTTGGATGTGATGACCTAAGTATCTATCAGAGAATTAAAATACACAAGTGCATGAAAGAGAGA